GGGAGCATGTGCCACATGGCCTTCTCACAACAGCTGAATCCTCCCTGCCTGTTCCTTCTTCGGCTGTTGGAAGAAGCCCACGTGGCATGCACTCCCTTCTCTTTGACAGCCACCTGATTTCCAATGGGGGGTGCTCTCCCCCTTGCCACTTTCCTGGCCAGCCATCCAGCCAGGCAGTGCTGCAGCTGGTGGATTGCAGGGGCAGCGGTGGCAAGCGGTAAGTGAAGAGAGTGCCGGCCAGCATCCCTGCCTCCTTTCTCTGCGAGCCGTGGCAGCGGAGAAACAGTGGCTTCTTTTTTGCCAGCCTCCCAGCTGATCCAGTCCCCCTTACACGTGTGCCTTGCATTGCAGCAAGTGGTGTGTGTGTGTGCATGCACGCGCACACGTGACATGCATGCCTTCCGTGGCACGCCCAACACCTTCGGACACCAGGTCACCCACCAAGCAGCAGAGAAATCTGGCTTCCGCAAAAGAAAAAAAACATTGGAAATTACCCCCTCTGCCACTCTGCTAAAAAGGTGGGAAACAAGGCAAAGAGAAAAGGAGAACTAACCACATTTGGTTAATCCCCAGAGCAGTAAGAGGCTGAATTGGGAGCTTTGTGAATTGGCTTGTAGAACATAGAATGCCATGATCAAAGGATTTATTGGGCACCGGTTTTAGTTCATAGAATATATCTATGAATATAGTTGGAAGGGAAGTATGTGTGAGAGAGAGGGGAGAGAGGGAGAGAGAGAGAGAGAGAAAGAGAGAAAGTAAGAGAGAAAGGAAGGAAGAAAGGAAGGAAGGAAGGGAAAGAGGGAGAGAAAGGAAGGAAGAAAGGAGGAAGGAAGGAATGGAGGGAGAGTGAGAGGAAAAAAAAGAGAGACAAAGATAGAAAGATAAAGAGAGAGAGAAAAAGAGAAAGAGAAAGAAGGAAAGAGAAGGAAAGGAAGAAGGAAAGAAAGAAAAAAGAAAGAAAGAAAGAAAAAGGAAGTGGGAGAGAGAGACAAAAGAAAGAAAGAAAGAAAGAAAGAAAGAGGGAGAGCGAGACAGATGGAAGGAAGGAAAGAAAGAAAAAGAAAGAGAACTTATGACCACAATTGAGCCCAAAATTTTGGTTGCTAAACAAGAGCGTTGTTAAGTGAGTTTCACCACATTTTCCAAGTTGGCCATG